CAATTGTCAGTTTAATATTTAAAATTCGTTAAATATAAAAAGACTTTAATAAACCTTATTTATTTAAACTTTCCTTAATTTCATTACCTTTAACACCAACCCATCGATCTTTTAGAGTTTATAATTCATTATTTTAATCATATAACAAACACAGGATTTAAATGTCAAACAAATTTCAAATCATGATAAGTGTCAAAATCCTTAGTAACGTGTAAACGGTAAAGGTGATAATAGTATATTAAAGAACTAATGTCATAAGACGTCATTTTGGCAAAAGGTCTTATGACATGAGTTCTTTATGCTATTTTATCCATTTTGAAAAAATTCTATAAAAAACTTAATTTTATACTTTATATTAAATTTGGTCGAATTTTACTTTCAATAGATGGTATCACAGTCATTGGTTTGAAGGGTTAATGCCAAAATCGATTCACCATGGCGTCCTTAATTTACTGATTTACAATAAGCGGCTGTTAATGTTAAAGAAGAAAAAAGGATTTTCTTTGGTGTTAAACAAAATTTATTGCTAAAAAATTTTCGCAAGTACTAGAAAAATAATAAAAATATTATAACCAATATGCAAAATATTATTTTACTAGTATGTTGTTTAAAGTAGCCAACCTATAAAATTTTGGGTGGGGTAAAGTACAGCACCTAAAGCGGTGTTACAATGAAGTCATTATGAACGCAAAATAAATAAAAAATATTGTCGCTGTGATAAAATGCGTAAATATGGAATAATGGCATTTTATTGCTTCTAATATTAATGAATTGTATTGTCTTTAAAATAAAGTGCCCTTCTTGTAAAATAATACCAAATGTCAAAATTATTATTTTTACTACTACCTTTAAAACGCCCATTATCGTACATGTTTCCATGACACTAAGTGAACTTTTAAATACACATTGAAAAGTTGTGACTTTATGGCGTTTTAGTCACGGGCTGAAGTTAGTATTAATTTAGTTGACAGTTGTTAAATGTCAAACAATCGTTTAAATAAAGTGCATTTCTTTTAAAATAATACTAGATGTGAAAATTATTTTATCTCAATCCTAATGCCAATATTTGAAAAGTTTATATAAAAATTGTAATGACCTTTTGATTTCGCCGGCAGTAAACCATAGCTTAAATTCAGGCTTGAACATTTTTTTTAACTTTTAATGTGAAAAATTGTGTTAATTTATTTTCAAGGAATACATTTTGATTTATAACTTTTATAATCTGTCTTTATAACACATAAAAATTTGACATTTGACACAGATTCCCCAATTGTTTTATAGATGGCGCTCTATACAAATATTTGATTTAAATCATTTTAATATAATAATAAGTTTTTGTCGTAAAAAAGTATAGTATGCACCTCGTTTAGAAACTTTTCTATACACTCATTAATTTAGGCACAAGCGAGCTTGCGAGCACTCCCTAGGGAGTGCTTAAATTGGGACTAAAATGGCGTTTATCAAACTTGATACATAATATACTATAATCATTTTTTAAAGCCCCAAACCAACAAGATTTTAATAAATCAAGGCCTTAATAACATAGTATACATCAATTACCTACTAAATTCAATTTTTTTTTTAACTTTTTAAATTTCATCAAGAAAATCTTGTTTTATTTAATATTTGTTTCAATTATAAGGAAACATATATACAGGGTGTCCCATAAATAATCAACAACACGGCAACAATAGAAATACGATATCAAAATAGGTCGATTAACACAAATATGCCATAAAATTTAATAATCACCGAGATAAATGTGAGATAATATTTTTAAAAATTTGTATTATTTGAAGAACAAATTAATATATCGAACTCAAAATTTATACAGTATAGTTTTTAAGGACGAGGAATAAAAATTTGTGATATGTTTTATGGTACTCCTATAGGATTTACCTAATTTGACTTGTGCCATTAGCGCCCTCTAGGTGTACCATAAAAATGATTATAATTTTTATTTTGGTCCATAAAAACTATACTAATAGATTGCATAAATATTTTATATTAACAAAATAAATCTTATGAATAATATATATATATATATTATCTAAAGTGATTTATAAAAAATATTCTGAGGTCAGTGTTTTCTTTATTGTTACAACCTACCTCACTATATTATGTAGGTAGGTATACATATTACAAATAAATTGTTGTAGAACAAGTTTTTAAAAGCTTGTAATCATGTAATATGTTAATTAATTTAATGTTTGAAATAAAAATTTCACCTAATTTTTTACACGAAAAATATATACGCTAAACAAATTTAAGACCTAATTAAGTTGATTTTAAAATCGTGACAATAAATAAAACCGCTTTGTAGTCCAGGGGGCACTTTCACAACAGAAAAATGCAAAAAAGCAAACTAATTATAAATATTTTATATAATATTTGTTTGTGGTTTGATATTGCTTCAGGGTTAAATTCAGCAAAAATTTTATTAGAACCAAATTAAGTGAATTAAATTGGCAAATACGTTATTACATATGAACATGATTTTAATTAAATATTCATAGTTATACAATACAACTTTTTAACTTAAGATTTTTTTATATCCTATTGAGGAAATAGACATATTTATACAAAATACATAAAATATGACAATTAGTGTATGTAAGTAGGCAATAAATTTAACAATTGATAGCCTCTTAATATTAGACATGTATTTTATACTTATATGCTACATGCTTAAGTACTTCTTATTTACGAGACGTCATGACTACCAATATTTTTTTAACGGTAAATTTGCAACCTTTTAATGATTATATACGAAATAAATTACCTTAAATAAATAATTAATATTGTGTTTAAAATTCTACATTCTTAACATATATGTTATAGTTAAAAGACTCAAACAAGAATAAAATAATAAAAAGGTAAGTAATTTTTCTACTCCTACCTTTAAAACGTCCATTATCGTATATGTTTCCATGACACTTAGTGACCTTTTTAATACACATTCACATGTTTTGTCTTTATGGCGTTTAAGTCACGGGCAACAGGTGTTTAATCACAGGATGAAGTTAGTTGACAGTTTTCAAATGTTATACAATCCTTAAAATAAAGTGCCCTTCTTGTAAAATAATAATAAGGGTGAAAAATTTCAATAACTTCATCCAAGCCCCGTTTGTAAAAAAATTATTTTTTTCTCGTTTTTACTTTGAAATAATAAAGTATTATGTCTTAACTTGAAACGTTTTTAAAATTTTTCGAATTGGAATCTTAGCAACAAAAATATGATTTTTTTTTCAAAAGAGTACATTTAAGGCTTTTTTGTAGGCAATACACTCAGTCTTTAGGAACAAGAAGATAAGATGGTGAAAGAATGTTCCTGAAATAATTCTGAATAAGCGACAAGCAACAAACTTCCATTATTTTCAGAGGGCCTAAGCAAAGACCACTCTTTCAAAATAACATTTTGGTGAAAATTTGAAAAAACTAAACCTAAACCGATATTAACGTTCGTCTGGCATTGGTATTTTAACAGCCGGGAATTGTTTTCGAATCTTGATTCTTGGTGGTTTTGGTTTTATCTGAAACTTAAATTTGACAACTGAATCACAATCAGGAGGTCAAAATTATGAAGAAAACATATCACGAAGGTAAATATCGGTTAAGGTTTAGTTTTCGCAAATTTTTACCAAAATATCATTTTGAAAAAGTGGTCTTTGCTTAGGCCCCTCTGAAAATAATGAAAGTTTGTTGCTTGTCGCATTTTCAGAATTATTTTAGGAACATTCTTTCACCATCTTATCTTCTTTTTCCTAAAAAGACTGAGTGTATTGCCTACAAAAAAGCCTTAAATGTACTCTTTTGAAAAAAAATGATTTCAATTCGAAAAATTTGAAAAACGTTTCAAGGTAAGACATAATACTTCATTATTTTAAAGTAAAAACGAGAAAAAATATTTCTTTTTTCAAACGGGGCTTGGATGAAGTTATTGAAGTTTTTCACCGTTTTACATATCACCCTGTACGAAATTTACTTGAAAAACCGTGAGCTTCATTTCTATAGCATGAATTGCCAGAGGATGGGGCTAGCAGATATCACAGACCAAAATAAAATCGTTTAAGAAACAAAAAAGGACGAACTTTTTGGTCGCGACACATTAAGTGGTGGGCAGTGTATTTATAATTTTCCATGATTTGTCAATTGGATCAATAAAGTTTAAGGAACACCGGCTCTATAGCAACAATTTTTTAAAATAAAATTTTAATATTTACCAAAAAATATCTTTATTGGTTTTATACAGGGTGATTTAAGGGACCTTATAACACTTATAACCGGATTTAAAAACATATTTTGTTCATCAAACCATTATCCAAAACTTAACATAAAACAAATCATGAGTGATTTAGCCTAGCAAGCTACTAAAAAGAATCATCAATCATAAAATAGACGACAAAACCTTTTAAAACACAATAAAAGTTCTGTAAGTACCCACTGTAGAAGAACATATTATCACAATATATTAAAATTGTTTATGATGACATATTACTTCAACACCTAATAAAAACAGATGAAATGTTTAAAGTGTTGAGGTAAAACGCCTCTTGAATAAATAATATGCGAACAAAAGTCCAGCAAAATATAACTGCTTAAAAGGGTGTGGTCGGAAAACCGTTTAATCGATTCACTTGAAACTGAAAGTATAAAAATTAATACCATAACATTTCAAGGTGAAGATGATGTTTATTTACCTACCCATCTTTGCTTGTCGACTAAAGGTTAAAAGTAAATAAAGAATTGACACTTATTTATCATTTAATATTAATTATACCTATACTATACCTACATAATTTGTATAACACACGCGTACACTGATGTTTCTTCATATTGCTTCCATAACAAAGCTTTGGTTGCTAAAAATTGTAATGGTCGGCTACTAAATAATTTTTGGTCAATAGGATGACTAAAACTCAAAATCAGATATTTTTTAATTAATGTAAACTAGCTTTTGCCAATGATAAATCTAATTATTTATTTTTTTGTAATTCTAGGTTAGTGCAGCTCTGTGTTGCATGCTAGCAGTATCCTATGCAGCCATTGCCCCCGGTCAAAATGCATACCTTCCACCAAAAGAACCAGGCTACAATTACAACAAACCTCAAGTACCATTTCCATCTGGACCACCAAGACAGCCACCATTTAGGCCTCCACAGCAACAACCCTACAGACCTCCCCAGGAACCTTTTAGACCAGTTCAACCTCAAAGACCTTCTTACCCTTCACCGCCACCACAGCAACCATTAAGGCCGATTCCTCAGCCACCTAGACCACAACTACCACCGCAAAGACCAGGTAAATTAGATTGTTATAAATATAATTTACTTTAGCTGAGCTCAACGTTTGTAGCACAGAAAGTCTCCTTTGCCAAATCGGTTTAAATTAAGTTCAAACTTTCTTTGTTAAACAATAAATGAACGTCTTATACGAGCCCTGTCTCAGTGAAGTTGACCCAACTAACAAAAATACATATTTAGAATATTATACGGTAATTAATTAAAATTAACACATTGTTTTAATTAAATAAAAAGCGTTTATTTAATTTTGTAACTGCGTAACATCTCCTTTATGGCTTATTACTGCCTGTATACGTCTCGGAATGGTGTCAACCAATTTTTGACAATCATCCGGCGTAAAATTATTCCAAATTTCTTGCAGGCGAGCACGCAACTCTAAGACGGTTCACCATCTTGTTGGAAGATGCATTCAATATCAATTAAACGCATTTCTTTAATTTGCGGTTTTAAGTTATTTTTTAGGACGTAAATATATTTATCAGCACCCCTTTAGCTGACATGGATCCCCAAATCATCACAGAGGCCGGAAACTTTACTGTTTTTTAAGACAGTCATTGTGAAAGACTTCTGCTTTAGTTCTTATTACTCGTCTTCGGTTATCACCAACGCAAACTTCAAATCTAGCTTCGTTACTCATTAGGATTGAATCCCATTGATTTTGACACCAAGTCCTGTGCTCTTTTTCCCAGAGAAGTCTATTTTTCTTCTGTTTTTTGTCAATAAAGGTTTTTCCCTTGCCTACGGATAGTAAAATTAAAAATAAATAAAAATCGTATACATTATAAACCTTGTAAGTTTTAATCCCAAGTTTTTGAGCAGCTCCATGACAGGTTGCTCTTGAAAAACATTTACTCGTTGCCTGATTCCACAAAACTTTTAATTCTCCGTAATTAGCCCTACGATTTTGAACGGTAATCCTTATTAAAGCCCTTAAATTTGTATCAGAATAGTGAGTCCGACTTCCATATTTTGGTTTCTGCGCCACAGATCCTGTAGTTTTGTGCAGTTTAATAATATTTCGCACTGTATATCGTGACAAATTAACAGTTTCAGCGATTTGTGTAGCGGATTTTCTTTTTAAATGCAAGTGAATTATCACTTTTCTTATTTCTTCAGAAACAGCTTTTTCTTGGGACATTATTATTTGTCAACCACACCGAAAGCATAAATATATACTGGAATGTCACTACCTACTTGCTTACAATTATTTAAATCAAATATTATCATTACTTTAAGCATAGCCGACTTGCATTAAAAAATTTGGCCATACAAGTTAATACATATTTGTCAATTTTTTTGTATTGTACCCAACATCCAACTTAAAACTAAATAATATACATACACATATTTTTAAAAGTTTTTTACAACATGAATATTGAGCAAGAATCACATATGGTAAAAAATTGTTGGCTTTTCATCGCATAAAATTACAAATTTTATTTTTTGAGTGGTTGGGCAAACTTCACTGAGATAGGGCTCGTAATACCTAATTATTAACCACTCGACAAAGAAAATTGTTCTCCAACCCATCTTAATTCTTTTTGTATTTCTAGCTCTTCCAGTCCAACCTCGTCCACCAGCGGCCACAATCCCAGCTCCATACCAACCAGTCAGACCTACCCCAAATCAACCTGCCAGGCCAACTGGTCCAGGATACATTCCTCCAGCACAACCCCAAAGGCCATCTGGTCCAGGATACATTCCCCCAGCACAACCCCAAAGGCCATCTTTCCCACCTCAGAGACCAAGTCTACCAACTCCTCCGCCATACAGGCCGACTCCAGCACGTCCAACTCCAGGCTACATTCCTCCGCAAAGACCTGCAGGTCCACCAAGCCCCACCTATGGACCAGGGCCCGCCAGACCCACTCCTCAAAGGCCAACTCCACCCTTCCAAGGACAGCCATCTCAGGTGGATCAAAAGTTCGTAGGAGAAGTAAGTTATTAAATATACTGTTTCTTTGTATATTTTTTCCCAATACAAATATTATTTATACTTATTTCAATATAACTAATATCCCTGTTAAAAATCACCCATAGAGACCAATAAAAAATCAGAATGGAATGAATTGGTCTTTATTGGGCCTATTGGTTTCTCAACAGAATGAGCATTGGTTTCTATTGGTAATTTCCGTACTGGAAAATGCCAATAGATTACCTAATGGTCTGAATTGGTTTTTATAAGAAGTTACAAGTAGGTACAGGAAATTCCCAATTGAAATTCAATTGGTAAATACCACTTAAATGTTCAGCGCCTGCGCAATTTAATACAAATGACCACTTGTTTCTATTGGCAATTTTCTTACTGGAAAATACCAATAGATAAACTAATGGTCTGAATTGGTATTTTATCGGTGTGTAGGTACAAGGAACTTTATTGGTATATACCACTTTAATATTTATTTTAAAAATTCGCCAATAGGTAGGCAACCCATGCATACCTCTCGCCTCTGTAGCACAATACATAGGCCTATAAAGGTGGAATGCCTTGAGCTGCTAAGTAAGGATTCCTTACTAAGGCAAAATTACTGGCCATGGAAACGCTTGGCGTTTTGGAATTTTTAAAGGGGCACAGGTCGTCCTGTGGCCCACTCTGCGAAAAGTAAGCAGTGGGCCCCACTACTTACTTTTAGCAGAAGCTATTTATAAAATTTAAATTAAATGTTAAACAGCACTATTTTTGAGAAATTATTTACCCATCAAAACACGTAATTTTTTACCTTAAAGACGTCTAAAATGGATAGTGGGGACCAATTCAAACCAATAGCGGTAACTCTGGAATTACCAATAAAATATATCTATAATATATCTATTGGGAATTACCAATAAAATACGATTAGTCTCTATCGGTCTGTATTGGGATTTTCCAGCGGTGTCGCTATTCGTTTGAATTGGTAATTCATGGTACAGATACCACTATTGAGACCAATTCAAACCAATAGAGCTGCCGCTGGAAAATCCCAATAGCTTTTCTATTGGTCTTTATGGGTGATTTTTAACAGGGATTAATAATCATAATAAAGATAGTACCAAAATAATAATTAAAAATGCATAAAGGGTCTTAGTGGTAATATGTTGACAGCATTGAAATCGCGGTCATAACACTATGATAGTTTTAGACACTTTTTTTTCTTAACATTTAGTACTCCAGCTCAGTTTAACTAATTTTGGGCCGCTGATTTCAAAAACGTCATTAGTTTTTCTCTAGGACGTTTATGATTTAAAATAATTTCATAATAAAATGCTCAATCACCTCAAAAGTTTTTTGTTAGTATTTTAATTATTTATTAAATTATTATGGCCTAAATTTATCTTGAATGTACTGAAGTAATTGGTATTCGACAAATAGATCATATTTATCTTAACAATATGACATTTTATGTAAAAAAAAACATTATTTGACATTTTTTGTCGTTTATTTTAATTATTAAATTAAAAGGGCAACAAAGTAAACAAGCTTCAGTATTTTTTATCCAAATTAAGCCCTCAAAATTTAATGCATAGTTTTGCTTTTTTGTACCTTAAATTTATTAAATCGTATCAAATATCGAATTGGATTATAGTATTATTGTGCTTAATCCTCATCATCGTCGTACATCTTTTGCTGCAAATTTCAGCGAATTCTTTACAAAACGGAGAGCATTTTTTGAAAGAATTGGCGCCAATTTTAGGCCCGATATGAACCAAGAACAGTTTCAATGACAGCTTTAACACTGCCATATGGGACAAGCTCGTCAACTTTGAGAGCATTTTTGAATGCTTGATCTTTCATTAAACTTCGTATATCTAGCTCCATTTAATATTCCTGCAAAATTAAAGTAGTAGGTATACCTAGATATATATATCTCATAAATTTTTTTAATAAAATATTGCGTTGGTTTTTCTTGGGCGTAAAGGTACCGCAACAAAAACAAAACAAATTTACAACGAAGACATACATTTTCGTCTCCTTTATCGGCCACTTCCATTACCACTTCCATTTCCTGCTCATTTTTCATTTTTGGCTCTTAAAATCACTTTCAAGTAAATATACAATTTTAATATTTCAAGTAAATATACAGTTTTAATTTCAAGTAAATATACAGTTTTAATTTTAAATGTCAATAATTAATAGATGCACATTAATGTGCTTGAACGGTAAAGTAGATAAAGGTGCGTTTATACTTCAATTCGATATTAAATTTTGATGAGTTAATAAATAAGATTGGAGATTAAATTTTTGGGTACTTTAGGCACGATGGGAATAAAAAAATATAAAATAATAGTCGATGAGTAATGCTTATACCGAAACCCATTTTCTTTGTTACCTTTTTAATTTAATTAGTAATTAAAAAACGACACAAAAATATCAAAAAATGATACTTTTTACCAAAAAAAACATTATAATTTTAGTTTTTTTTATTTAATAAAGCACTTCTCTACAGAAAAGTGCTTTATTAAATATCCCTTATATAATACTACTAATTTGACATTTATCTACCGATGACTTTGTATGGAGTCCCTGTATATTTTTGAAAAAAAACGTCAAAAATATACTGAACATCCAAGAAAATAATTTAATAAATAATCAAAATATTAACAAAAAACTAACATTTTGAGATAATTGGGCAGAGCATTTTATTACGCAATTATTTCGAATCCTAGACGTCCTGGAGCAAAACGAATGTCATTTTTGAAATCAGCAGCCCAAAATTAGGTAATATAGGTGGGCGTACTCAATGTTAGTAATTCTAACTATCATAGTGTAATTACTAATTAATATTAAAAAAAGTACCAGTTAATAAACTTTGATATCAATTAATAATATCTTTCTGCTCGGTCAAAAATCTTGTAAAATAAAGTTACCTTTGGCACCGCAATCTTCATTTAATCTTATAAAACCAAATATTTATTAAAACTTTTTTAGAATGATCATCTTTTGGTACCTCATAAACCAGCGGAACCCTTCGACTTCAAATACGCAGTGAAAGATGCTGAAGGAAACGACTACTCTCACAATGCCATAAACAATGGAGACAGGACCGACGGAGAATACAGAGTTTTATTACCTGATGGAAGGACCCAAGTAGTCAAATACGTAGCCGATTGGGCCACAGGTTTCCACGCCAAGGTACAGTATATTTTTATAAATTTGAAATTTGTTCTCTTCTATACTAGCAACTAAAAAGGTGACGTTCATATATTCAGTCAGATAACTAGTGGAGTGACTTGAATAGGTTTTACAATTATTAACTAAATTAATATAAATTGGTTATAGATAAGTTACGAAGGAAATCCAACATACCCATCCCAAGGTCAAAACAAGTTCCCATCACAAGGTCCAGGTCCAGCTCCAGGAGGGTACCCATCAGGAAGACCCAACGTACCATTCCAACCAAGCGGTCCAAGCCAAACGAACCAAATAAACCAACAATACACACCTGCTGGTGGATATAAATATTAATTAGGCAATACGATAATAAAACCTTGCATTAAAAAAATAATTCAGTATTAATTTAATAAGGCAATAAAACAGTGATATTTAAGGTAGTAAATGTAATACTGGGAGGTTGAAACAAAAGATATTTATTTAAACACTGCCCACAATGTACTTACCTATGCAATGATTTGCTTTTTAAAAATAAACCTACCTTAAACTTTGTAAAAATTTTAAAACGATACTTTATTTATAATTAGTATTATTCTATTTAGTATTTCTTCAAACTGTATTATTTATTCATCATTATTATATTTGGTTGTAATATACTATTGATAGAATTAAATATAATTATATTTTTATAAAGTCAATGTTTTATTTATACCTGTGCTATAGGGTGGTCCAAAAAACATGTTTTAAATATTTTTTCTTCACAAGTTTTTTTTATTCTATTGAATCTAAATGAGTAAGTACACATTTTTATGAATATTATTTGGAGATCAACCACAATTAAACTTATATAGGTATAAGGGTAATAGATATATTCATATTATAATATAAAAACTAAACTCTAAACTACGACATAATAATAATGAATACTTTTGATAGCTCAGTTTCTGTTAATTTGCCACTAGGCGAAATATATCTGTTCTTCTTTCTTGGTTATGACTGGTTGTATTTTTTAATAAGACCTCGTTATTATCATTAACAACTTTTACAACACTCTTCATTAAGGAGAAAAAGCTGGTTCCTTCAGTGACAAAATGTTCATTTTCCTACACTATGTAAAACCCCAAGATTAGTATTTTACCTGTAAAAAAAATAATTTTTGAACAAAAATTACCTTGCTGTTTATCCTAATCTTTTCGATATATTTTTTCATTAATTTATTTGTGAAAAACTAAAATCAATGGTATTAAGACCTTACCATCCTTGTTAAATTTGCATTTTACAACCGATTTTCGTAAACTTTTTTTTGTTGGATAGATCTCTAAAAAATACTTTAAACTCATAATTAACAAATTTTTAAATGTACTGTTAAAGATTTTTTTAGGAGAAAAAGGAACCACGGATTCCTATTCCGGATACTTTACCAATTTCTATTGTTCTGAAATACAGGGTATCCCAACTAATACTTTTTTATTTTGAGGAGATGGATAAATAAGAAACTTTCCCAGTCAGATTTTACTTAAAGATTTTAATAATTTTAATGTACGTGTTTGTTAGACTACCTACCTTCCCTGTGATAAATTTAGTTGATGCTTGGGAAGCATTCGTTATTATTAAAATATCCACTTAATCACTGGTTAATTTAAAATGCCCAGCTAGGATATCCTGTATTTAGAAGCGATAAACATTGGTATAGTTGGGTTTTAAATGGTTCCAAATAAGAATTAGTGGTTGCTTTCACTTTCCAATAGATTGAAAAATGCCCAGCTGGGACACCCTGTATTTAAGAGCTATAAAAACTGATATAGTGGTACTGCATAAGAATCAGTGGTTACTTTTGCTCTAAAAAAGTCCTTAATAGGTACTCTTCGAAATTTTGACTCCAAAAAGAGATCACAGTTGCCCATAAGTTTAGTCGTCAAAACAAGTAACATATATTCATATATGCGTTTATCCTTTCTCAAATAAAAAAAAACTGTTTGGTGTATCAGTCTGGTATCTAAAACCTTAAAGTTGTCTAAACTTTAAAGTGGATTATGAATCGTAACTGCCACTTTTAAGTTTCTTTCTTCAAAACCAGACATGTTTTCAAATAGTCGCCATTGTAGGAAAATAAAAGTGTAGTTTTAAACAAATAATTCTGGTTATTACCATGCCAAATTTAACACGTTAATAGATAATTATTGGTTTCAGGTAATCGGAAATAATAACGAAATTATTTGAGTCCTCTAAATAAATAATTTTTAGATCCGCCAATTTTACGAATTTTTATATTCTTTTCTATTTTCACATATTTCAACGGGGCGTGCTTATATTTCGGACTATACGCTAAAGACGTATCGCTAGTAGCGCCACCACTCGGCTGCTATCATCGTAAAAAAAGTAGAACTTTTAATAATCAGCTGTCAAACGCTTATGTTACAAACAAGTGTTTTTGAGAATAAAGCCGGAAAATGTTAAAAAATATCGAAAAAAAAACATGGATTAATTTGTTGTCTTGTTGGGTGTATTTCGAGAGGAAATCCTGGGTTGAGTTTTTACCGGTTTTCCAATAAACAGTGTTAATCTGAATAAAGAAATAAATTGCATAGAGTCTCTGTAAATATAAATTGTACCTTTTAGATACAATAAACCTAACATTTTAGTAGTAACCCAGATAGCAGAAGTACTAAAAACGTCCTGAGTATATCTTGTAAGTTCCGAATACGTCCGAATCAGGTCCTGAACCTTCCACAGGACCTTCCAGGGACATACGATGTTACCAAATCGTCGGTCCCCAGAACGTCCTAAGTAAGACATCCTCTGGCCATCATGAAATGCTTGGACATTGGACAAGCCTTACAGAATTGAAGAGTGAAATAAAATTTTGAGTTGTCAATGAAAAACAAATATTTTGCACATGTAAATGTTGGAATGTCTGAAACACGTTTGGAATTGCAAACTTGTTACAAAATATACTATAAGTCATTCTGCATGACACAAAATTACGTCCTTGGGTACCCAGTATATCCACTATAATTTTCCCAAATAAGTAAGAGACTGGACGTACCCAAAACTTTCGATATAGTTCTAGGACGTTCGGACCTATGTGGGACGCGAAATGGACGTCCTGGGTACCTCTTGTGCTATCTGGGAATTAACGTGAAAAGTATAAACATTTCAATTCAGTAAAAATCGTCAAACAAATAAGTCGCGTAAATTTAAACAGTATTTAGCATTATTAAAAGCGTTGATTAGGAATTCCTTCTTCACTCAACGGTAAAATACCATTTTATTATGTATTATATATAAAATTATGTTGCTATGAATTCGTAGGTATATTTTGTTGTTTAAAATGCAGTTGTCAGCGTTTTTTAGAGAACTCAACTATAAAAATGATTGAATTTAAGGTTATGTTTGTGCAAACATTATTTTTTACTAATTTCTTAAAAATGTCCTAACTCAAATATAAATTATATTAGGTAAAGTTATCATTAGTTAATTCTGCACCAACAAATGTACTTACCAAATTGGATTCTTTGGCAAAACATGAAAATGCAACGATTTAGTTCTTGAATTTTATTTACAATTAAAAACACAATAAATCACCCCGATCCCTTTGATAAAATACACACAATAACGTGACTATATAAGCATTTAAGCGTTGAGTTTCTTAATCAATGATATAAGGAATAATCAATCGAAATCGAGTACTTAAAAAGTTTTTTAATTTTTTTCCAGGCAACATAAAATACAAATAACGTGGGCGATTTAGCTGTGCAATTGAACAAAATTTGTCGAGTATGACTTCTGCCTTCCTCTCTTTTGTAAAAAAACTACCTATTTATTTGATAAAATTTTATTTGTGGTTATGTGTTGTCTTCAGATTATTTGAATTCTAGTTATTATTTGCAAGTTGAATTCTTACATTATAATAATTTTAGTATTCAGTGTCAGTTCAATGTCCAGTTTCAGAGAAAGCAAAGATAGTAAGATAAATAATAAGCTGGAAAGAGACGAGCATAAAAAGTAAATATTAGTAAAGTTTCGCTTAAGTTGTGGCCACTATACCTCCAATTTTAAGTAATGTAATCACAACGTGTTATAAACGTGTCTGTATATAATCCAAGAACGTTGTTGGAACGTTACTGACACTAAAAAAGTGTTTTCCATTTTAGTCACTTTAACGTAATAGAACCGTTTTTACCACGTAGAAGTGGCATTTCATGATTTTCATCCACTAAAAATGCTACTTGGTATGATTATGCTCATCAAGTTTAAAATGCTACCAAAATTATACTTTGCGTCGGTGGTGGCATTGTATAATTAATTGTGAAAAAGGGAGAAACACTCAAACAATAATGTAATTTGCGAATGTCTGCAACATCCCTGGTCAAGAATATGTCAAAGAAATATTTGAAAATAACATTCGAGAAATCCCACAGCTTGCCTATCAAAACGTTATTAAATTTTATTATTTATACTTAACAATTTACCAGTTTTTAATTTAAATAAGCCACGCACAAGATCTTGTTGGGATATCCTTTAGATTTACAAATCTAGGTAAATAATTATATTATATAAATACTACAATAAAATTCTGTTCCAACCTTTAAAGGTTATAGATGAACTATATTTATAGCAATATTATATTCGGCAACCCCGATTACATAGTAATGTCTGGAACTAACATAGGTCTATGGTTTATATACATTTTAACAGGTGGTTATATATATTTAGTTATACCTAACCCCTTAATTATTGAATTGCTCAATATCACAAAGTTATAACTATACCTATACCTATAGGTATGTATACAAAATGAGCACAATAATCATGAAATAAGAATCGTTAAAACATTCTTTCAAAATGTTTGCTTAAACTTTTAAAGCTACCCTCAAGGAATTGTGAAAACGTTGAAAAGTCGGGATGATATTGAATATCATTTCTTTTCTACATATTTGAAAGCCTAAAAATAATATTTTATAATTTCCAGTTATTGTCCAGTAATTTTGATTAAACAGCATAAAAATATAATTAGACCCTGATAGACTTACACAGTAAAAAAATATTTGTTAATTTTAACCAAATATTAACCAGATTTTTATGTTAATCCAGGTCCACATAACTTTAACAACCAACTGTAATCTGTTAACTACTTAACTACTTAACTAAGTAGTTTGTAATTATAACAAACATTTGGTAGATTTAATAACAAAATCCTATGTCAATAATTCAAACTTAATTCTTGTAATTTTTAAAAAGGACCATATTTTTACTAACCTTTTTGTAGACCCAGTAGCAAAAGTATTTGTTGAAAATTGGGAACTTAAATAAAAACAATACATACAATTAAATAACACCCCATTCTAAAATCATCAAATTGGAAAGAAATTTTGTACAATATAATTATCAGTAGGTACACTCAAAAAAATAAATGCTTAAAAACAAGAAAAATGACATTTAAATTAAAACAAGTCGTTCTTC